ATATCTTCACCTTCTATTAAATTATTTTATAGTATAGTATGTATCTATTATATTGTTGAGTCTGTATCTGGATTCTGTCTTCCACTAATTTACTTTTCTCATGCCAATATTATACTGATATAATTATAGTGATTTTATAGTATGATCTGACATCTGGTAAGGCAAGTTTCCCTTCACTTTTTTATTTCCCCCAAAAGATCTTGTCACTCCCCCAGCCATATATACTTAACATCATATTATATAAAGAACAAGCATACATCAAAGTTAAATCAATTAAGATAATTCCTGGAAGTACATTAAATCTGTGGAGAACTGACCTTTTTTTATAATATTAATTTGTACTACACCAAAACAAATGTTTTCTCTTCTGTTTGATTTTGTATGTCCTTTAATAAAATTATAAAGTTTTTTTTTTTTTTTAATTTGAAACTGTGCCTTTCTTGTTAAACTTACTACTAAATATTCCATATAGTGTTAGGTACTTTTTTGAGAATGGAATTTTTTTCATATTTCCCTTTCCAACTATTTACTTGAGTATATTTTTTTAAATTCTTATCCAACCATCTTATTGTATCATCTTATTAATTCTACAAGTCTTTTGGTCAAATCATCACAAGAAGAATATTTTAACTAGTTTCTTACTTCTATATGCCAGAACTTCCAAAAATACTGATTGTAATATTTATAGAAGCTAATCCATATTTACATCAGATTTTGACTTAAATTGTTATAAGTATTTCACCTTTTGGGAACATAATTGCTGTTTGTCCTCGATAAGAGGCTATTTTACATTTAAGTAGTTTACTTATATTCCTGTTTAACATAGAGATTTTAATAAGAATAGCTAGCTATAATCATATAGTCATGCTTATCAATCTGCCATTGATTGGCTGTCTGACCTGGAGGCATCTCTGTATTCTTTAGGTATTATTAGGTATTATTCTTTTAATTAGGCCACAGGTATTATTCTTTTAACTAAATGATACATGAATTAGATATGCTAGTATTTCCTTTTGAATTTTGCATTTATATTCTTCAATGAGGTTAGACTTTTTCTTTTTTCTTTTATACTACCTCTAGCAGGATTAAGTATAAAACTATGCTAGATTCAATATAAAGTGAACTGAAAAAGTTTTATATATTTACCATGATCAAGAATAGCATAAAAGACAATGCTCTTCCCTATTTTTTAAGAGCTCGGTAACAATTACAAATCTAGTCATGGTGCATTGTTCTATGTACTCTAATTACCTTTTTTTATCTCTTTTCTGATAATGGCCTATTAAAGTTTTATAATTATTCAGTCAATTTTAATAATTTATATTTCCTAAGACATTATTCATTTCATTGAGGTTTCACATGTTACCACAGAATTATGGTTGTATTATCTTATGATTAACTTATCTTGTGTCTATAGTTGGTGTCCTCTTCAATCTTAATCATATGTTTTTGATCATTTTTTTTCCCCTTAATAATGAGGCTGTAAAGGAATTTTGCTATTTCCAAAGAATGATCACTTGGAATTTCTTTATTCTTTCTTTTCAGTTTCTTTGATTCTGGTTTTTATCCATATTAATTCCTTCTTCTTGCCTTATTTTGATTATTCTATTGTTCCTTAACTAATTTATTATCCTTGGCAAAGAATTATCTTACTGATGAACTAAAAAAGTTTCAATAAGATTTGAGTCAAGGTAGTACAAAACTTAATAAAATGAGGTTATTAGGCTTGAAAAAGAACAAAGCCAAAGGAATCATCATCTCATATTTTAAGATATAGTACAAAGCTATAGTAATAAAAAGAGTATGGTACTGGCACAAAAATAGACACATATAGCTCATTGGAACAGAACAGAGACTCCAGAAATAAACCCATGATTATCTGGTCAATTATCTATCACAAAGGAGGTAAGAAATACACCATGAGGGAAAGACAGTCTTTTCAATAAATGGTATTGGGAAAACTGGACAGCTGTGTGCCAAAAATGAAACTGGACCACTACCCACAAAAATAAATTCAAAGTGGATTAAAGACCTAAATGTGAGACCTAAAACCATAAGACTCCTAAAAGAAAACAAAGGCAGGAATCTCTTAGACATTCACCTTAGCAACATATTTATTATGGATATGTCTCCTCAGGCAAGGGAAACAAAAGCAAAAATAAACTATTGGGACTGCATCAAAGAGATAAGAACTAAAAGCTTTTGCCAGCAAAGGAATTCACCAACAAAACAAAAAGGCAACCTCCTGAATGAGAGAGGACATTTGAAATGATATATCCAATAAGGGGTTAATATCTAAAATACATAAAGTACTTATAAAACTCAACACCAAAAAAACAAACAATCCAATTTAAAAATGGGCAGAGGACCTGAAAAGACATTTTTCTACAGAAGACATACAGAGGGCTAACAGACACATGAAAAGATGTTCAACATCACTAATCATCAGAGAAATGAAAATCAAAACCACAATGAGGTATCACCTCACAGAAGTCAGAACGGCTAGTATCAAAATGACAAAAAATAATAAGTGTTGGGGAGGATGTGGAGAAAGAGAATGCTCCTGTACTGTTGGTGGGAATGTAAATTGGTGCAACCACTGTGGAAAACAGTATGCAGTTCCTCAAAAACCAAAATAGAAATACCATACAATCTAGTAATTCCACGGCTTAGTATTTACTCAGAACGAAAACTAATTTCAGAAGATATATGCACCTCTGTGTTTACTGCATTATTTACAATAGCAAAGATATGGAAGCAACCCAAGTATCCACTGAGAGATGAATAAAGATATACATACAATGGAATATTACTCAGCCATAAAAAAGAATGAAATCTTGCCGTTTGTGACAACATGGATGGAACTAGAGGGTATTAATGCCGAGTGAAATAAGTGAGACAGATAAAGACAAATATCATATGATTTCATTTATGTGAGGAATCTGAAAGTTAAAAAAAAAATGAACAAACAAAAACAGACTCTTAAAAACAAAGAACAAACTAGTGGTTGCCAGAGGAAAGATGGGTGGGAGGACAGGTGATGTAGGTGAAGGGGACTAAGAGGTACAAACTTTCAGTTATAAAATAAGTGCTAGAGATGAAAAGTACAGCATAGGGAATAGAATCAATAATATTGTAATAATGCTGTATTGTGACAGATGTTGACTATATTTAACCATGGTAAGCATTGAGTAATGTGTAGAAATGTTGTATACACCTGAAACTATAAAACATAGTATGTCACCTACACTTCAATTAAAAAAAATACTATTATTAGGTGATGGGGAGAATACATGTCCCAGCTTTATCTCTATTTAGTCATATATGTCTTTTAGCAAATCATTTAACCTAAGCTCATGGTTTCTACAACTCTAAACTGAAGAGAGAATACACTCTCAAGATTCCTGTTAGATAACAAATTACACCTGATAAAATTGATAAAATTTTAAGTTCCTTCTGAGAAAAGGAGTCTATTTGAAGGAATAAGAGACCTTGGAAAAACTGAACTGGAACTCATTGCCTTTAGAAATAATATCTAGGGCGCCTGGGTGTCTCAGTTGGTTGAGCGACTGCCTTCGGCTCAGGTCATGATCCTGGAGTCCCGGGATCGAGTCCTACATCGGGCTCCCAGCTCAGCAGGGAATCTGCTTCTCCCTCTAACCCTCTTCCCTCTCGTGCTTTCTATCTCTCATTTTCTCTCTCTCAAATAAATAAAATCTTTAAAAAAAGAAATAATAATATCTAAGAAAATCCAGTTTTTCTGTGATAGTGAAGTATAATGGAGACTTATTCTATGAACACTCAGGTCATAATCAGGTGAATTCCTAAGGTGTTTCACAAACATGAATGCCCTAGTAGTACAAGAGTTTCTTAAAGAAGATGCATCTTAGTTACATTGCAGAATGACAGAGACAGGTTTAAAAAAAAAAAAAAGGTATCACATCATTATACCATATCCTCATATTTTTCTTAGAATAACCTGGGGTCAAATGGATTTCAGGCATTCCCACTGAACCCTCTGATGTTGCAAACGAAAATCTAGGTGTGTTTAGTTAATTTTTATTGGGAGAATTAATCACACTGATAGATTTGCAAAGAGTTTGGGCCCTGAGAGGTTGAAAAAGACTATTCTAGATTAATAATTCAACTTCCTATCTGTCTGTGATTAAACTTTTCCATGGTCATGCTTTTGCTACTTCACCAAAAAGACCTTTGCACTATTGGACAGTTAACAACTAGCAAAAAACTCTGGCTTTCGTCAAGTCAAAATCTGCCTCTACAATTCTCATCTATTTTCTTGGTTTCAGTCTCTGAAGCATGAGAGAACAATTCCTTATTCCTGAAAATAGCCCTTTACATATTTGTAGGTAGTCAACTTAGTTCCAAGACATTTTCCTTTTTCAGAATGATAACTTCTAAGTAACATAGCATAATTCACTAATCCAAAATTTTCTCTAAAGGAAGATGATTTAACAACTCATGAAGACAATATTTTATATTTTTAAAAAGCTCCACAGTGAAAGCTCACCTAATTCTTGACTGAGGGATAGATTGCTCTAAACTTGTGAATTTCAAAAAGAATTCAGAGACAAGAAATGCATTACATTGATGTATGTGAACTAATGAATTCTGCAGAATTCTCACATACTTATTTACTTCAGTAAATTCTTGGAAACTGGTAATACATAAATTCTTTAAAAATTATTTTTTAAACCATTGTCAAAATATTACTCATGGATGGATTTCAACCCATCTTCAAATTTTAGCCATAAGTCATTTTTGTATTTATTTTTATGATTCAGAAAGGATAAAGGCAGTAATATCATTTTAAGTGGTACTAAAAACAATATTTACATTAATTCTTTCAGGGGGAAAAAGGGAGAAAATATTAACAGAGTGAAGTATAACAACATACAAGGGAGAACAAATTCCAAAATGGTAAACCGAGCTCTATAAAACTCAGCACCAAAATTCAATAACTATACAAGAGAATTACTTACGGATACAATTCTGAAAGCTGTTCGGCTATTGCATAAGCTGTTGGGTCTCTGTCTAAGGCATACAGAGTAATATCTGACTCCTTCTGTAGAATGGCTCTTGTATGTCCTCCTGAACCAAATGTCATATCTAGAAAAGTCTAGCGAACACACACAAAAAAAAGAAAATTACTACCTAGCATGAACAAAACATTCTTGCTAGCTACCTTAATTTCTAGAAGCACATATTGATTTTCAGAGCTGATAGCAATTGGAAAAACAATTAAAACTGTTTGCCTAGAGTTCAATTTGTTATATCTGTTATACATGAGACCTGGATCAATTATGAGTGACCAGCCTGAAAGATGTGGTCAGAGTATCAGTAAAATGATAATCTCTGGCACAGGCTGGCCAATTCAAGACAAATTTACATTTTCCTCCAAAGGTCAAACTGGCCACAGTGTTATGCTGCTAGCTTTTTTAATGCTTTCCAGCACCTGGCTGATGACAGTATTTCCAACAATTTCTCATTATTTGGAGATAGCTTATAATTAGTATGGCTCATTTTTTCTCGATTTCTCTAAATGCTTTATATGACACATGAAGATATTCAAGAATACAAAGAAAGAATGAGAGAGAGAGAGAGGGAGAGAGACAGAGGGAAAAAGAATGAATATACCTAACAATAAATAGTCACAGGACAAATCCTTAAAAATCTAAACTGGAAAAGGCTCAAGGCTTAAGTCAAAACAACTAGGGTAAATTCTAGGTTTGTCACAAAGTAGCTATATATCTTTGGGAAAGACACTTAAAATTCCAGCGTTTTTAGGTTTCCCAGGCTTTGAAAAGAAAAAGAAAGTCAGAAGAAAAGAAGATACCATCAATATCTACCTAATTGGTAACGTGACATATAATTACTCATCTAAACCAAGACACTTCTGAGAGTATAACATCTGCCAGTAATAATTTTGCCAGGACAACAGGTTATGATGTACAGAGGTGGCTATTTTTCATGTTTAGATCATTCTAGAAGTAAAGCTAATTGGATTTGAATCTACTTCTTGGCTCTTTTATTGGGCCACACTATAAAGAAAATAGGTCTCAGTTGGGTAAGAAACCAGACCTGGGCCATTAGAAACATATTAGTGAAAAAGTTAATTGATGTGGTTGATTTGGAAGTCAAGACACTCTCAGTGTAGATTAATGTGTCCTTTCAATAAGCTTCACTGGTTTTATGAAAATAAAAATAATCATTCCAATAATATTGAATACCATGAAAAATAACATATACTATAGGTCAAACTATTAAAAATATTTAAACATATAACTTTTTTAAAGTTAATGTGTACATTGTAGAAGACAAATTCCTGAAATGGATTTGAACATTTCCCTGCCCTGAAGGCTACAACTTATTTCCAGGAGAGTGGTCACAAACAAGATACAAGTATGCTTTGATTTTTTGCTACCAGCTACCATGCTGAGTCCCATCCTCTGATCAAGTCCTCAAAAAAGTTAGCCTGCTATTTGAAGAATAACATGGAGGAAATCTTCTGATCAAAACTGAAAAGAGGAGGGATATAAATTATGAGAGAGATGTAAATGTGGTAAAAACATGCAAGCACTGCTTTTTAACATGTATGTTAATACAACTCAATCTTGCACTTCTGTCACTGTTGGCACAAAAGACATGGCTATACACTCTTTTCAACACTATAAATGATAATGTTAAAACAATACTTGAATTTCTTATTATTTTTCTTTTTAAGTAGCCCATCATGAGGCTCGAACTCATGACCCCCAGATCACAACCTGAGCTGAGATCAAGTCAGACACTTAACCGACTGAGCCACCCAGGTGCCCATTCATATTATTTGCATGGTTATTAGGAGTACATACTTATAATCTCAAGATCAAATAATTTCCTTTCTCAGTCTGTATACTTATTTTATGTATCTATGAGTAGGTAAAAATCTCCACCTTACCATACCTCAGTTTTAAAATTGCTAGGGGTTTAGCATAATTTAAACAAAACAAAGAACTTCTCCAAGGCAAAAGTATAAATTACTTTCTTGTTATGCCCCAATATCAAGTCTTGCTATAATCCTACACTTAAACTACAAGTATAGCAAATAAAACAATTTGCATATAATTACCTTATCCCAAGCCAGGAAAGTCCAATCAATAATTAAAAAGAAAAAAACCTCATCATTAAAAATATTCTGGAAAATGTAAGATGATGATTATAATTTACATGATTATTTTTTAATATATCATGATTATGCCCTTGGAGATGTACTGACAATCAAGGAAGTTCCATAGGAAAAAAAAAAAAATATTACCAGTCAAGTGTAACACAAAGCAAAGTGGGAGACATGGGATTTATAAAACTACAAGTGAACCCCACCATATGTCCTAGGTTAATAGGTTATTGAAGCCATCAACTAGAATTTTGAAAGTTCTAATATACATTGCTCATCAATGTAGGCCTTGTGAATCAACCAGCACTACAATTGAAAAGGGAGCCAATTAGTCTCTCCCTTCTCCTGGGTCATTAACTTGATCTAAGACCAGATTTTTAAATTTGTACAAGCTGACGATAAAGTAAGACTGAATAAATGCACAAGAACAAATAAATCTGAGTGTCACAAAACAATGCTTCTATGGGTCTCATGGGCATGTATGTGTGTGTATTCATATGTATATGTTATGTTCCAAACATACACAGAACTCTCTCTTTAAAACTACCTGATATAATTTATCTAAAACATGAAACCCATATTTGATACCAAGAATTTATTCTGACAATGTCACTTCTCACCTGTATAATCCTGACCAAATTATTTTAACTCTCTGAGCCTCAACTGTTTCATCTAAGAAAAGGGGATAAAATGTACCCGTTTACTTCACAGAGATATATAAAAATTATCTTATTTCTTCCTTACAACCACAAAGTAGGTGTTATCAGATTTATACATATACAGAAACAAAAATTACACTAAGCTAGTAAGTGGCAAATGCAGGAACTGAATGAATACAGATATACCTGGCTCTCTTTTGCATTAAATCAACAGTCTATATTAGCCCAGTACCTTATAGTTTATCGAGCATTAACGTTTTTCGTACTTGGTCTAACAAAAGTTCTTAAGTATGGACAAGTGGCATTATCCCCATTTTTGTAAGTACAAAACTCAGGTGCAGAGAAATAAGGTGACTTGATTAAGATCCTATTACTAGCAAGTGAGGGAAAGAGATCTCTAAACCATGTGTCACCAACTCTAAATCTTGTGCCTTTTCTGAAAGAAATAAAAAGAGAAGAAGGGAAGAGTGAGCAAAAGAAAGAAATAAAAAAGTGGATGGCATAGAAAGAATCATGGCAGAAATAGCTTTACAAAAATTATACAAGAAAACTTCAGTTTTTTTATAGACTACTCATTCCCACTGGAATTTAGGCTCTCAGAAACCACATCTTAATCTTTGTTTAGCAGGATAACTTGAGATATGTGTGTTTCTCTCTTTTTTTCTTTCTTTCCTCCCTCCTTCTTTTTCAAGCAGGAGCCTAGATATTTAGAGCTTTAGAATATATGTTCCTTGAGCATTTTTGCATGACACAAAGAAAAAAAGTATCTTTCCTGTCATCTGGAGACAAATACTTTTCTATCAGTTAATATTAAAGAAAAAAAAAAAGCTCAGAAAGAATGCTAGTTATCCTGGGTAGGTTAGTGTCTTTAAGGAAAAGAGAGATAGATCTCACTGAAAGTGGATGGAAGAGAGATGGGAATGATGAACAAATTCCAAGAAGGTACAGAACTAATGAAATGACTGACAGATGATAAGATCTCAAAGCAGCTGTCTGTATGAGGAAGTGAAGGAGGGTGGACCCTCAACACAGGGTTCCCAGTGCTCCCAGAGATTTCCATACCCCTCTTTGGCACAGAAGAAGCAGAACTTTTGGTCCTAGAGGGCCTTTATTACAACAAAAGGCATCTCAGGGCAAACTAAGGGTGGTATGAGATGAGTAATACCTCAGGGCCTCTGCATAGCTCATGTGGGGTAGGAGAATGACTGAGATTGATGGCTTCTCAGCACAGGGGCTCGGAATCAAAATAAAAGTGACTTAATGAAAAAATATACATTTGAGGGAAGATTCATAACTACAATTCTCCAACTCTGCCTCCACCTTAACAGCATCAGTGCACAGTAGATGCTTAGTAAATATTTAGTGATGTGATACGAAAACAGAGCTCAGCTTCCCAAGGTAACTATGATAAAGATAGCAACACTCATTTGTGCACATGAATTTAGAAATACTCAAGATACAAGACTCATTATCATAAGACCACATAAAATAGTCACAGTATATCCAACTTTTAGGAGTCGTTTAACATCAATATATTCCTAATATTACAAGTTGCTTCATTAATGAAAAGAACCTTTTCAGAACATTAATGATGATCTGATATTAATAGTATTATGTAACTCTAATGCACCATGTTCTTATTTGTTGATCAGACTCCTTTACATTTGAAATATTTTAGGTGGCTTTTCTTATTTTAGGTAGCTCTTTTAATCAAATACAGCTAATTGACATTTTATCCCCATGGTCTTCTAAATATAGAAATGATTAGGTTCTACCTTGTACCATGCTGAGTCACACTTGCATAGTTGAGCTACAGCTGTGAATCTGATAATGAACAGGGTTCAGATGCAGAATTTCAGAGCTTCGAGGGACATAACACACTATTTATTCCACATCCTCATTTTACTTATGAGGAGACCAAGGCCCAAAAAGGTAGCCAGTTGAGGGCAGAGCTAATACTAAAACATAAATCCTATGTTCTTTCTACTTCATCTCATAATATTCCTCCACTGAAATTATATAATCACACTGAAATAAACAATCATTCTTTGAAAAAGTTTTTTTTTCCTTAATGAAAATAGATATATATGTGGGAACTTTGTACCTTAAGCCTCCAACACAGTTGAAAACAATCACTGCCCTACCATTTTAAATTGTTTTAGGACTTTATGGCGATAAATCTGTTGGCTTCAATTCCAAAGACAATTATGTTGTATATGTGGCCTCAGATAAATATCCACCCATTATGTATAATAGCAACTGGTGATGACTGACTTCTTGACAGGTTACAGTTTTCAAATTGAC